GCTCAGTTTAGTTTACCTTATTCAAGCTTGAGTTCAAATTTATTTTATCTTATTTGACCTCAAGTTTGAACTCAGTCAAACTTAATCGAGTTATCAAACTCGATTTTTTGGTAAATCTTATAATAAATAATTAAAAATTATATTACAAATATATTACTCAATAAGGCTCGATAAACACTCGAATTTTGATTTTTTCAACTCGAATTCAATTTGATTATCTTATCGAGTAACTCGAACTTATTAAGTAGTTCAAACTTGATTTAAATTCGGTCAATATCAAACTTGAATCGAACCTTTGAATGCATTACTCGTGAATTCGAGTCGGGTAGTTTGATTAATTTAAACCCCTACATTACACACCAATTAAAATAATCCAAACCAGCATCCATGTCAAATTTTGATGCTCAGGTCACTCTTATCCACGCCAAACTTTGATATACATCCGGAAAACTTCGAAATTCATGCCAATCATATCCACGTCGAACTTTCGTGTCAAAACTAAATGATATACGCTTAAATCATATCCACGTTGTAGGAGGACCTTTCCTAGTGCCAAATGGTAATGGGTAAACCTGTTAGTCTCTGAAATAAAATTATGAAAAGCTGAATAGCAAGTAGCAATAGGATAATTACAGCGTCAGAATCACAAGGAAAAAGGGGAAAATGTCTCAAACGATACCGTCTCAGTGGGGAGACTGCAAGAGAACGGCGCCGGCCACGTCATAGTGTCAAAATTGTAAACGGTGGTGGGCCAGTAGGTTTGAAAATAAGCGACCAAGTCCTAACATGCCCCAGCCACGCCCACATCCCCGAAGGAAAACGAAATGCCCAATCTAGTCTTCCCGGCCCCAACTGTGACACCGGATTTTGAACCCTAAATTTGGACACAAATAAAGCAAATATAGGCACTAAAATAACAAGACGCAAAAATCACAACAAATTTGGACACAAATAAAGCAAATGTAGGCACTAAAATAATAACATGCAAAATCATAACAAATTAACACAAAAAAAAATCACAACAAATTTATACAGTATTTAAAAACAAAAATCCTATACCTTATCGATCAATTGAACATCTCATGATTTTCAATCGATTTTTGAATAAATTCTCATGTAAATTCTGGATATCACACCAAAAAAATGCCACTTCATTTTTTTAAAAAAATTATTTCAAATAATCTACCATTCCAATACACAATATATTACCAAAATAGTCTCATGCGCCAATTTCAAATTGAATACATCTCCACCATTAACTGCATCAGTATTGGCTATTGAGCATACAATCAAAATTGACCAATCAACCAAAAAGATTTTGACTGGTCTCACCGCCAGCGTGGCACCAACTCGCCCGTGTCCGTCTGCTTGTTTTTAAAAAGCCTCAAATATAGCAAACTCCGCCACCACATTCCCAGCCCAGCTGGCCTCTTGTCCTTCTCACGCCACGGCCTCTTCACTTCTCTCCATCTATTGTTTACTTCCTTGATCCTTCCAACCATTCCACCCCTTCGCGCAGCATAATTTCGTCGCTGCATCGTCTAGAGGTATCTTCGATTCTCGCCATTTTTAGCTCTTGGAGCTGTTATTCATGACATGGATTTTACTGGTTAAGTTATGTAGCATGTTTTTATTGCGAAAGAGATCTGAAAAGTCATGGACTGAAAAGTTAGTGTACTATCAGTTACGCTTGAACATGTGTTTTTGGTATATCATTTTTTTTAAGTGTGTTTTTTTGGTGCGATCTGATTTGGTTTAACTTTTAGTGTCATCGTGTTTATCCACGAACGTAACTTATCCGACAGTCTTAAATTAGTTGAATATCTTACATCATTGCATACTATTCTAGGATTATGACATTATGTAGCACCAATCTAATAGTCTAGTTTAGTTTTCTCATGTCTATCAGCAGAATTTAAGAAAAGAAGAAATCTAATTTCCTAGAGTTAATTTAGTTAAATCTCTTTCAGTCTAGGGATACTTTAGGATCATGTATACTTCCCAAGTTTTTGAGTTTTAACTTTTTACTATTTGTGAGGAAAAAAATTGGGTGGACCCGACGACTCAAGTTAATAGTTGAATATCACTCTTGTTACACTATGTACTGTTGCCAGTGGAAATTTATCAAGTTCAATGTTTTCATGCTTATCTGGAAATATGTAGGGGAAGAAGGAATCTGAGTTACCTGGTCTAAGACTAGTTGTATGTTTCAAATTTTGAGATGTTGTAGGATTGTGCACGCAGATAGATTTTTTAATTGGTTCCTGTTTAGGTACAATCATTTGGATTTTGTTCCCCTTATTTTTTGTTTTGTTGAAGATTGTTTAGTCCATAGGTGCAACAAAACCCGTTAGATGTACTGAATTTCCATTCCATTTGTGAGTTTTGTGTATGTGCAGTCAGTTTAGTTTTGAGTCTGAATGGTTTGAAACAACTGCAGATTTTGCTTTTGATCAGTATATAAGGGAAAATGTTGCCTCCTGCGTCTCGCGATGAAAATGTTTACATGGCCAAGTTGGCCGAACAGGCTGAGCGGTACGAGGAAATGGTTGAGTTTATGGAAAAGGTTGCAAAGGCTGTTGATACTGAGGAGCTAACTGTGGAGGAAAGGAACCTTCTCTCTGTGGCTTACAAGAATGTTATTGGTTCCAGGAGGGCTTCCTGGAGGATCATCTCTTCCATTGAGCAGAAGGAAGAGAGCCGTGGGAATGAAGATCATGTGAACATGATTAAGGAATATAGAGGAAAAATTGAGGCTGAGCTTACCAAGATCTGTGATGGAATTTTGGGGCTTCTTGAGTCCCATTTGATTCCTTCAGCCTCTGCTGCTGAGTCCCAGGTGTTTTACCTGAAGATGAAAGGTGATTACCATAGGTACCTGGCTGAATTTAAGACTGGTGCTGACAGAAAAGAAGCTGCAGAGAACACTTTGGTTGCTTATAAGTCTGCTCAGGTTAGTTTTACTCCTTTTTATAGGTGTTGCTTTCTATGCACTTAATAAAGAGATTAGTTAGTCTCTGAATGATAAGCTTCTCATCATACAGGATATTGCTTTGGCTGAATTGCCTCCCACTCACCCAATTAGGCTTGGCCTTGCTCTTAACTTCTCCGTGTTCTACTATGAAATTCTTAGCGCACCTGACCGTGCTTGTAGCCTTGCAAAGCAGGTAATTTTTTTTTTCATTTCATTGTCTTTTCACGCAATACTCTTTAAATTAAACTTTGTTCAATGCTGGTTGTCCTTTCATAAAGTGCAGTTTTTGGCATCTCTTACTATGTGTCACTGAACCATAAATAGGATTTGTTTGCCTGTTATAGGAACTTTGGATTTTGATCTTTGTATTCACCAGTGGATAGACACCTACTTATGTAAACCTTGGAAAGAGCAATGGACTTGCTAAAGAAAAAGATTGTAAATTGAATGGGTTTTTTTTAAGACAATCAACCTCCTGGCAGATGCTGCTAGTCCTGTGTTTCAATTATTCCCCTCCAAGGTCTAAATTTACATGAAGAAGCTTCTGTTATGGATGTCAAATTCCTATTTAGAAGCCAGTTGTTTCATGTGAAGGCTCTTGTGACAAAATAATCCATCAAACTTAGGTTTAGGATGTGCAACCATGAGCATTCCATTACCTGTCAATTCTATTTCATTGGTCTTTCTTGTACAATTTTTGGCCCTAATATGGATCTTCATTGCAGGCCTTTGATGAGGCCATCTCTGAGCTTGATACACTGGGCGAGGAAACATACAAGGACAGTACATTGATCATGCAACTCCTCAGAGACAATCTAACTCTGTGGACTTCTGATATTCCGGTAACGACTTCATTTTATGCCTTTCTTTCACACACAAATGTGAGGATTACATGCATTAATTGTTTGAAATGTGTATAACATTACTTGGCGGGGTCTGAAGTGAATATGTATTGGATTTAGTTGCATATTCACTAAGTTACTCTTGTAAATATTTATGTTACGCTAGTCAAGGCTAAAATGGGTATGAGAATACTTCTAAAATAAGAGGACATCTGCAGTCTGGGTTGTTTCTTCTGTTAACTTGCAATCCGACTGTTCTTTTACTGATTGCTGTTTCTTGATTGCATACTGTATTGATTTCAGGAGGACGCTGGGGATGAGATCAAGGAACCATCAAAACTTGACACAGGGGAGGGGCAGCAGTAATGAATTCGTTATGTTAGAGTAGGACTTTCTTTGGGAGATTACTGCAAGACATGATGATTTGGTGGTGGATCTCAGGGCTAAAATGATTTACATACATATGAAAATGTTACTGCCGAAAGAAAATGGTTTTGGGTTCATATCTCATCAACGGTTGTAATGCTACTTGTTTAATTTGATGATGAGCTGAACTTGGATTGGCTTGGTATTGCATTTACTATCTATTTCTTGCTAATTCTTTTTTGTTGATGCGGTCTAAACATTGACGGATCGAAGAAAATTTTGATACATCCATGGCTTTGTATGGAACAGTGTTTTTTTGGGCTGAAACTAGTTCTTCAAATACAACTCTACACTGTAAAACACTCCAAACACACTCCAAATAGGCCTAGCAAAAACACAAAAAACAACAACAACAATTTGGCGTCAAAACTTATTGCTGTTGCGTCTTCGGACCTTTGGTGTTTCCTGGTCTACCTATCCTATTTCAATTTGTCATTGCAGCCGCTTACAAAGTTTGTGGAACGGTGTCGTGGGCCGGTACGACGCAGATAAATTGGAAGTCCATGGAAAAAAGCAAAGAAGAATAAAAACGATTAGTTTGATTAAACAAAAGTGCCCGACCGGCCAAAAAACCAAAGAAAGGTTGAGAAATGGAACGATAACGGGTATCGTCTTTCCCGGTCCAATACTGTTGCAAACTCCATTTGATTAATCAATTGGGCTTTTTTGCATTTTCAAATCAGGTTCCCACTTTCTATTATTCTTTTTGAATCCCAAAATCTTTGAAGCACCAATGACAATTCCCCCAAAATTTATTCTCTTTAGTACAATTCCAATGCGGGGTGTGGATAAGACTCTGAAAGGCACAAGTCCAGTACTACTGTACTAGTCCAGCATCCTCCTCACTAAATACCGAGACAGAAACTAAGCATCGCCTCTATGGCCGCCTCCAAAACCGCCGTTATCGCATGGTCATCTCTCTTCCTGTTTTGCAATGCATACTCATCTAAGTTCAGAATTAACAAGGTTAATTTTTGCATTTGAACATTTATTTCAGGGGTTCGGGAGAAGATGGGCAGTTAGGAATGGGTAATAATGAAGAGAAAGAATGGGTTTGCTCCATCAAAGCTCTTGAGCCCTTCGACGTCTGCTCTATCGTCGCCGGCAGCCGAAACTCCCTTGCCATTTGCAACGACGGCAAGGTACTTAGTACGGTCTTTAGTTTAGTTGTAGTAATAGTGCAGATTATTCAGCTTGTTGAACTGTCACTTCATAAAGATTGTTCCTTTCTACTTTATATTAAGTATTATGATTTAGCAAATCCATATCTGGACTTGGACATAGTATTCTTTCTTTCTTTCTTTCTTTTTCAATTTGTTTCCGGGAACGAAGTTTGGATTCACTTTTTGTGATGGGCTTGTGGTATTAGTTGTTTACGTGGGGTTGGAACCAAAGAGGGACACTGGGTCATCCCCCAGAGACCAAAACCGAAAGTATTCCTAGTCAAGTGAAAGCTCTTTCCAAAGTTAAGATTGTACAGGTAGTTATTTCACTTTGAATTGCTAATTTTCATGATTATTAATGGATTAAGATATGTGACGTCGTATCTTAACTTGGTTTAGTTAATTTATTTCAGGCGGCAATTGATGGTTGGCATTGTTTGGCTGTCGACGATCAAGGCCGGGCTTATGCTTGGGGTATAGTGTGTTTTTTTTTTTCCTTTTTTTTGCTCTCCGTTATGTTCCCTTAATTTCTGCAAAAAAGTGGGATGGAAAGCATGATACGAGTTGGGCTTTGAGAATTATTCTTAAATTTTACTATTTAAGTAACAAAATGATGTTGGCAGGAATCTTTTCTTCTTCCTTTGTCTGTTTTTTGATAATGTCTCATTTAGTTTCTAAACTTCTAACATGTTGTTCCACCAGCGTGACTCTCCTAATAGGATTGGGGAACCTTTATGCAGGTGGGAATGAATATGGACAGTGTGGTGAAGAACCTGAACGGAAAGCTGACACAGGAAAGCCTGTTAGGAGGGATATTGTGATTCCCCAACGATGTGTGCCAAAGCTTACAGTTCGGCGGGTGATTTATTCTATCACGTGTCTCTATAACTTGATTTCATATTTGGGTAGCACCCGGGTGTCTTCCCTTATTGAATCATACATACCTAGTCAAATTGCTTTCAAGAGCTTTAGATATTTGGCAGTGCATATGTTGAATTCAATATAGAATATTTTGTTCACTCATTCCTCATTACTCAACATGGGAACCAAGGGTTTGAAATGATAGAAAGCTGTTACTTTTCAGGTTTTAAATGTACCTGTAGAGTATAATTTACATCTGAAATGTGCAAGAATTATTTCCTTTTTATATAAGATGTGATTTTCTCTCTTTGTGAAGTTTTAAAGTTTGTTTCTTACTCACTGGGGAATTGAGTCTCTGGTGGAATATTCACAGGAGATATTCCTTTTCACTTGGAAGTGGCATGTTTCAACCTGAGATGATTTAAAATGCTCTCTGGTGAAACAATATTTTGGCATCTTTCTTGGTACTTTTAACAGTTTAACATCCTTTCTATGACAGGTAGCTGCTGGTGGTACACATTCAGTTGTTCTCACACGGGAAGGACATGTATGGACATGGGGTCAACCATGGCCTCCTGGGGACATGTATACTCCTTTTGGATTGATTTTTGCTGACCTTCATTATCTGTATCTGAGAGCTTTCAGGATTCAATTCTTGAATTTGTTTTAATTTGTTTTTCTAAACTTACAGAAAGCAAATTTCGACTCCTGTTCGAGTACAAGGTCTTGAAAGCGTGAGGTTGATTGCAGTTGGAGCTTTCCACAACTTGGCTCTTCTTGACGATGGAATCTTAATGGCATGGGGTAATAATGAGTACGGACAACTGGGGACTGGTGATACTCAGCCCAGATCACAACCTGTTCCTGTCCAGGGCTTGTCTGGTCTTACTTTGGTATATATTTTAAACATGAAGTCATTTTCTTCTTGTCATTTTTCTAAATGATCTGCTGTTACTTAGATAACTTTCTATGTAAAGCCTTTTGTAATTGATTTCCTGTTCATGTATTTCCAATACTACATGACGGTTCTTTGTTTCATGCTATTTTAACATCTTAAATCACATAAGGTACGCAGAAGCATGTCTCAGTGATTTATGTCATTTTCTCTGCTGAATTTCGTGACATTCTGCTTCCTGTTCAGGTTGATATTGCAGCTGGAGGGTGGCATTCTACTGCATTGACAGATGAAGGAGAGGTGCTTCTCCTATTACTTACTCCATGGTTCTCATGTTTGAGATTTGTGGTTTGTGGCTTCAATATTTACTGACGTGAATACATGTGATTGTTGTGTGAATGGAACTGCCAAATCAAATATCATCCCTTTCACTAATCCCAACTGTGAATTGCACATGCAGATGTCTTGTAGGTCATCTGAATTACGATTCTTTTTAGCAACTAGCTTAACCATGCCGCACCTTTGGACCTGTTGTTCAGTTTCTAGGCACCACGCTTTCTTCTAATGAGTTCAGTTCCAGCTTCTCTGTCAATTCGTCATTGAGATTTGGAGTTTCTAAGTATTTTTTTTTTTAACATTATATGCCAATTTGAAAAGGAGAACAAAAAACATCAATATCCATGTGGATCTGATATATGGAACCAGAAATTTCATGCCTCAATATCTTTGCGTGCTTTGTATAAAGACTGTCAGTTTTGAGTTCACAAGTGTGTGAAATTTCAAAAGTGATTCTGTTTCTAGCTGTAAAAGTAAGTTATGCCCTTCTTTTTGGCCCATAAGCCAATGATCTTGGGAAATATATTCGGCATTTCTTTTTGTTCAGAAGTTCTTGATATGCTTTCTAGTCTTCATTTCATTAACTGATAATAGCCTGATGATTTGTATGATCCAACTTTTCTTTTTTCTCTTTTCTTTAGTTTTTGTTCTGTAGGGGCGACATTCATCATGGTGCTGTGAATTTTATGATTTCAGTCACAATTGTAGTTGAGCATGAATGTTCTGATTTACTAGAGAAGAATTGTCTATGGCAGGTATATGGTTGGGGCCGAGGGGAACATGGGAGGCTTGGTTTTGGAGATGACAAAAGCAGTAAAATGGTGCCCCAAAGGGTTCAGCTTCTAATATGGGAGGACATTGTACAGGTGCTGATATGAGAGGTCTTTTTGAACTTATAAACTTTGTTAATGATCTTACCTTTCGGCTTCGGTGGATGATGGTTATCAGTGTTCATATTATGTATTCTTTCAGTGTTATGTATTCTTTCTGAGTAGTCGAACAACATTCTTTCAATTCGATGACTTTTACAGCTTCTTTATGGTGGTTTTTCTGATTTAATTGCTACTCCTGTTAGTTATCTCTCTAGCCCTTGCTAATTGTCGTATACTATGCATTGTTATATAAAACTACTGTCAGGCAACTGCCTGTGAATCTCTGCTTTTAAAGTTCAACTTTCTTAATATTTCTGGTTGTTTGGAAAAATCTTAAGTCGGAAATGGTTGTTGATGCAGGTGGCCTGTGGAGGAACCCATTCTGTTGCTTTAACACGTGATGGCCGCATGTTTTCAGTGAGTACTCTGACATCCTATGTAGAAGTCTAGAATTCCAATTGAGTTCCATATCCAACAGTATACCATTTTTCTGTCGATTTATGTATAACAGGTGATTGGCAACGGCGGCTATTTTGCTATCTATTATAACGTGTGTGGGATATACTGGAGCTCTCTAGTAGGAGAGCTAATCATTTTATTGTCGGAAAGTTTTTTGCATGTTTGTGTGGACTCTGGGAAATAGTGCATGTGATCGGACAAATTGACTTGATATAAGATTATATGTTTGTTTCAAGCACTAGATACAGTAATATAGTAGCAATGCTGACTTGTCTGTGCTTTGGGCAGTTTGGGCGAGGAGACCACGGCCGTCTTGGATACGGAAGAAAGGTGACAACGGGCCATCCATCAGAAGTGCCCATAAACATCCCTCCTCCCAGAGATCTTAGTGAAGGTGAAGCTGAGGGAAGGTGGTGTGCTAAGTCTGTTGCTTGCGGTGGCCGCCACACACTGGCAATAGTAGAGTGGCGCAGCCGGGAATCTGAGCAGTTACCGCACGCTCCAACGAACGTGTAGTGGTATCATTGTACAATTGCGTCATTTTCGGAAGAATCTTCTCTCGTGCTTTGCAAATTCTGGCAATTGAAGCAGTTTGGTAGTATTATAAATTGTTTGTGCACAAGAAGTAAAGACAAAATCTCCTCGGAAGTTTGTTTTAGACTAGATGCCGGACAAATGGACCATAAAAATTGCATGAAAGAGAAGGTTGGGGCTGGAATTTGGTGCAGCAGGTGTAGGTAGCGTCTCCCCAGCCTTGCCTGCATTGTTCTAAGCTACCTGGGTTTTTGTACGGGCTAATCAGATAAATTGATGCAATCGCAATATTAAAAATTAGCAACTCAGTTTGAGCACAATCGTGAGTAATTTTGTTTTTTTTTTCCCGTCGTGTTTTTCTAATACTTCGATTTTGGCACTGGTTATTGCTAGTGGCGACTTGCGGGCGTCGGTAAACCTTCACATAAGATTTGAGACATTCGACTGCAAAGTGACTAATACTGCGGGTGTTGTGTGCGTACTTTTCGTCCAAGGTGAGTGCAGGAGCAGAGGAAGAGTTTACCTTGCCTTCCGTCGGTTTGTAAGCTCTATTTGATTTTCTTATTTAAATATTGACTTTCCTTACCCCAAAAAAAAAAAAAAAAGCGACAAATACTATTAGAATCCCGCAGACAACGAGCTGGCAAACAAAAATAATTAATTAGCCACCGACCGGTGATGTGGTAATTCAGATGAGACTACAAGCCAATGGCCATTGCCACAACTAGGACAGGTAACATCTAACGTGTAAACCTTGATCAAACATGTCAATTACACTTCCCCAAAAGCCACAAACCTTAAGGCGGGCAAAACACAAACGTTGACTGCTGCTACTCCTGCCACATTGCTCTTCGCTCACCAAAATCCAAACAATCCGTCGAAATGAATTTGCCAATGTTTCAGGTGATTCTGCGGCATTAGTTGCATCAATGAAAGAACTCTTTTAACCCCTCAATCTTAGTTGCATCAATGAAAGAATCTTTGCCTTTCAGGGCTTCGGCAAGTCTCTTATGATGACAGTTCTTTCTGAGGTTGGTGACAGAACCTTCTGTGTCGCTGCTGTAAGTATTATCATTATTGTTTTAAACTTCGATTGCTGCTGCAAAAATTTGAGCTTTATTCATCATAACATCGCCGTGTTTTGGAAGATACTGGCAATGCGTCATCCGTGGAGTAGCGTTCTGTGCGGTTGCCTTTCTTCTGTAATTGTAAGTGCAATTTCTTTCTTACTTCTTGCTCCTTCCTTTTCTCTCATCAGTTTTCTGATCAAAAAGTAGGAGATATAGTACTCTTTGTACCTTTGAGAAATTTCTTAGCAGAAATATACCTGGCTCACTATCATCATTCTCGAACCTTATTTACGTAATCCAGACAAAGCTACATGCTCAGAAGTCAGAACTTTCCCGTTTTCCCTCCACCCTCAAGCCACAAAGACGGAAAGAACACCCAAAATGAAAAAGAAAAGGAAACGCACTTGCTTTTGCTTGGTGAGGAATAATGAAAAATGGTGTTGCAGTAGGAATTCAAAAGAATTTATTGGCCTGATATTATTCATATAAGCGACAAGAAACGAACGATCAAATTTTTTAAATCTTTCGTAAAGCTTAAAAATGTCTTGCCATGTATTTGTAGTTGACGACTACTCTCTCTGCTGTTATTGGCTGGGCTGCTCCAAACTTGGTACGTGATTCTTTTAGCCGTCCTCTTTTTAGCATACCGATGGAGTTCGTATATGATTAGTTTTGCGAAGAAAGTAACAAACAAAATTTGTCGAATGTTTTCCTTTTTGTATGCAATGCTACTCTTTGTTTCTCTAAACAGAATGCCTTTGATAGTTAGACTTGATATATTACTACTTTGTTTGCAAGATTCCACGTGAACTGGCTCACCATATCACCACACTTCTCTTCTTTGGCTTTGGCCTCTGGTCTTTGTGGGAGGCATATAATGAAGATGACGAGTACGGCCTCCTTTTTTTTTTTTTTTCAAGAATGTGTCAGAATAAAATTATCAACTTAAACTTTCACGAGTACTAACTGCATCATTTCTATTTCATCAGCGACAACGAAGAGTTAGAACAAGTTGAAAAAGAACTGGTCAGTTACCCCTCTGCTGCATCTGGGTACAATGATGTGTGGCTTAGGTCTAGAGTTGAAAATTCTAGATGTGGTCTCTTAATCCTTGTTTTTTTTTTTTCTCAAAGAATCAGGACGCTGCACCTAAGGATACTACTGGTAAAGGACCTAAAGGCAAAGAAGGGAGCAAGGTAAGGTCATGAACATTGAGTTCATGAAGCCCCTAATAGATCACATCCTCTTTTTTAAGTTACTTGCTACTAGGATGTTTAAATTTGTAAAGACAAAATTTGGTTAGATGGTTAGTTTATACAATTTCTATCAATATGTGAGGCATTTAACCTAAACAGAAAGCCAGATTGATTTCCTCTGGAGTATCCAAAATGGTCGTGTTCGTCCGTGGAATAGCCTATTGCTTGCTTGTTTTGATGTTCATTACTTACTAGCAAGAGTTCTTATAGGTTATGTAAAGCCCTGTTACCAGCGTAAACTTTAATTACCGAAGGGGAAGCTGTAATTCTGAAACGATACACATTTTCTAGGTGGCTGAGGACTTGAAAAAGCAGAGGAAGCCATTTCTGACAAATTTCTTCTCACCTGTCTTCATTGAGGTTTGCATTACTTGTTTATGAGGGATTCTACTTCTAACCAATGAGTCTCTGATTCTAATCTGGTGTAAAAATTATGTTGCCAACATGGCAGAAAGAACTTCATGCCGCATAGCCAATTTGATGTTTCTATCGTCATGTTTTTTTAGGCCTTCTCAGTTACCTTTTTTGGTGAATGGGGTGACAAGAGCCAAGTAAGTATCAGCTGGGAGGTGTATACATTACGTACATTGACTATCTTGAATCAATGTAATGCTCACGATTTACCAAATTTGGTTAATGGTACATTCAGCTAGCAACCATTGGTCTTGCAGCAGATGAGAATGCCATAGGAGTGATCCTTGGTGGAATCTTGTGAGTTTCCTCGCTCCTCATTCTTTCTTGGGAAGGGGGATGTTTTTGTTGGTTAAGTTAAGCAAAATATTTATAGGGCTAATGCTTAATGACACCTCAAATGGGAATAACGAAAATTGACAAAAGAAAAATCAAGTCTTGGGATTCTATTATCTTCTGCAGAGCGCAAGTACTGTGCACCGTTGCAGCTGTTGCTGGGGGAAAGAGCTTAGCATCTAAAATCTCTGAGAGGCTGGTAAAACATTCATTCTTCATCATCAAATTTCAGGCAAAATCTTTACTAGGATTAATACGCTTATATTCTTGCGTTTTGATACAGGTTACGATGGCAAGTGGAGTTCTTTTTCTGATTTTTGGTGTGCAATCCTTTCTGTCGACTATGTATTGATCTACTCCAATCATATGTATTCTTCAACGCAAAATTGACAATAGAACAAGCAGTCAACATGGAAATTGTAGCTCCGACGCAGACATGACATTAAGGAATTTGGGATTCATAACGTATTGGGATTTTGTAGCTCCACATCATTCTCAGAATCATGCCAAAGCAAATTAATCGCAAAATTTATGTACATTCGAGGCCAGTGATTCTTGCCTCAGACTTCAATTAGAAATTATCATGCTATCAAAATGTTACTCAGTTTTTTTTACCTCAGAATTTCACTGTTCTGCCGCATCCAGAACTTCCATCCCCTTGTTTCAGACAACAGCAGGGGTGCGCCTCGTCATCCCAATGCCACCATATCGTGTCCCATAGCCACCGTAAGCAGGTCCAAATCTCCCGCTACACATCCCACCATGCAGTAGCAGTAAATACAGCAACTGACTCAGTAATGACAATGTGATGAAAGCCTCCAATGTTTGCTGCAACACTCGTATTTTGTGAAAGACAAAAATCATCAGCATTCCATCTTTCATGTAGGAAGACTGCTACTGATAACACAATAAGAAGCTTCGATTCAAGTAAATATTAACGTGACCATTTACCAGTCGTTTCCCTCTATGCCCTCCCAATATGATCTGCTTGCACACAAGTCTGCACCAATAAACTACTTAAAACGAGTGAACAGAGTAGAGGAGGAGTAAGGTTTTGAGCAAGGCGATGGATACCCAAAGGCAAGAGCTGTCATAGTCCATGATATGAACGCAGAAGAGGCTGCACCGGCCAGACTGTCACTGTGCCAAGCCCGGAGATGGATGAGCCCAGCAAACAGAGAACATGCTCCAATTACACCGCCAATCAATGCAAACACTAGCAGAAAGCTTGTAGACGGATTCCCTCCCAAATCTGTGTGTTAGAGACTATGGGGATCAAAGATTAGTACTAATTAGTTATTGCAGAGAAGGGAAGTTAGTACAACTCGCGGGGATGATCCTGTTCACCGTCAATGTATTTGTCGAGAGACCATCCTGCTAATCCCAGTACAATTAGATGCACGACAGAGTTGACAGCTAATAGAGGTCCCATTAAGCTTTTCCCACCCCTTCCAACCGCCATGCTGAATCCAACCTCAAGCTGTATCCTCAAGAAAAGTCCTTTCTCTTGTCTTGCTTATGTCTGTGTAGAATCAGTGTGCGCGAGCGCGTGAGAGAGAGAGAGAGTTTCTTTGGGCTATAAATAGAAGGAAAGCTGGATGTGTACGTGTTTGCCCGCGGGGTGCTTGGATGTAACAGGTGTTGCAACGCAGGTGGGGAAGTACTTGTGTTGTTAACGTGGAGGCTTGAGAAGGAAATGATTACCAAATTATGGGCAAACTAGAAAGTTTGCTGCTTTAATTAGGAGCATAGCGTTCAAGTTCTCTGCCAATCTTGGCTACATCATCTCGTTTAACTTATGTCAAAAGATTTTGTCATCACACGACATGGATTTTGTCTTCTACTATTTCTAGTATAAGAAAGTAAAGAACAACGAACAGGAATCAAGGCCGGGACGTTTATCCAAATTTTTCTGGGCAACTAACGCAAAAGGGAAACGGCATGGAAGAATATCTGACATATTGTGGGTTCCAAATAATGCAAGTTTGATAAGCATAGGACCGTAGCAGACCCATCTTTCGACTTCAGTCTTCTGCTGTCGGTAATTTGCTTTATTGAAGGAAGAAACACATCGACAGAAAGGATTTCAGTATGAAAAGTCCATTAGGTCCTCGTTGCTACAGAAAACAGGCTCTAAAGAGACTCTCAGAACACATACTTAGGTGAGGTAAAATTTAGCCTAGCAGACAGCCGTACAAGGGTGAAAAAGGGCTCTGAAAAAGGGTATTGCAGACACCCATACAAGTTCTTGCATATACGTAGTTCCTTCTATGGAATATCTGCTTTACATACCAATGTTGAGATCATCTCCAGCAAGAGAATAGAGTGGAGGATCAGTTACAAAGAATACAGAGCTCCACAGCAGGATGAAGAGGCAGAAGCAGACAACTGATTTACAAGAATCCGTGTATCTTGTAGTAAGTCTGATTCCTTCCTCTTGACCACTTTCTGAAGCTTTATCATCCACTTGAATCGTAGGACATGTGAGAAAACCATATGCTAAACCTGTAAAAGCTGCTCCTACATTTGTCCTGCAACATCACAACTGAGTGAACATACTGCAAAATTGGACTTACTCCTTTATTTTACTGCTGTAACAACTTTTTTTTTTTCACATATTCACCAATTGTTATAACTCTTTTCCTTATAAACGAGATCACGAGCTCGTGTATATATGGTTGCAGTTAAATTTTAGTAATAAATATTCATTTTCGTTGTTATGAGTCTGGAGTACTAACCAGTCATCAACAGGACCAAAATTGCTTAGTGTACAGCTGAGACAAGTAGCAATTATCACTTTCTGAAGCATTTTTTTAGGACCATCATCCACCACCATGTCTCGGTTCTGAATCTGATAGGCAAGCCATGCTCCAATTATAGCAAAAACCGGACCCTAAAAGAAAGGTTTGATTAGAAAACGTCCACAGCCATAAGGACAGCAATTAGATTATTCAGTAATGGAGATCTCTATGACAATGAACGACCAATTAGTAAACTTTAGGATGAATTCTGCAGTTGTGCACCATTATTTTAAGGGGTGAGATGCTGTTTACCGTCCCGCCTACAGTTGGATCTGGTGTATGAAGAAAGCTGATCAGATTGCCAGAAAGTCCCCCGAGCACATATATCAAAAAGAAGGTTACTGAGCCATATGCACGGCATACTTCAGGCCCATAGGTCATGAGCATCCAACAACTAAGGGCGATATGGAAAACTCCAGAGTGCTGCAAATTAAAGGATTTAGTCCTTGTACCCAGAATCTAATCAACAAAGTACTCTACTAAACATGGAATTAATCCTTAAGGATTTCTACTCTCCAGCAGCAAGTCTGATCTGATCCCATTTTTTCATTGCTTATGGCTAGAATACATTCTCAAAAAAAAAATTGATGTACTAAGCTTATCATAACATGTCATTACATGCCTTCAAAAGCAGGAGTTAACTAATAGTATCCGCTGAGTGAAACAAAGTAATGTTTCATTGCAGACTCCATGTACTAAATCATTAGGTCTGATAGTCCTTTCAACAACTCTTTTTTTAAATTACTGCTGCTTCACTATCAATCTAAAAGAATGGAAAGCTAATAACTGCAAAGAAGCACGAACCCAGTTTTCAATCTTGTACCAGAAACATAGGCGTTACTAGCCTCCACCATTCTCCATCTAGGATCAAATGATTTATCTTTGCTCCATAGGCCATTGGAATTGAAAAGAGCTGTAACTCAGAGTTCCTAATTGGACTTGCTAATTCAAACAGGAACACGGCAATGTTTATAGAAGCTAGTAATCCTCTGCATCAAGATAAGATATACGAGTTTAAAATACAATAGATCTTGAGAAGCTACAAATATAGACTTGCTTAGAATAAACATTAAAATTAGGGAGAGATGCTGATCCTTTACAGTAAGTAAAAGTTGGATACTTCATCATCTGAAATCTTCTGAGCAACCCCAGTCAACTGCAGACGAGTTCTATAATTCTTCAATTGAGAACTTTCATAGACTCTCTTGACGTGAGAGCTTGGTACTGTTTCACAAGATTTGTCTCCAGAAGAAGAGGAAATATACTTTGTTGAGTTTGCATCTGAATAAGGATTAGTAACCAAAACTCAATTTCCTTTCAGACATGAAACCCAGTGAACTAGAGCTAATCAGTAGACAACTGATAAGTATCATAATTAGCACGATACTATGCATGAAATTTAAAAGGAACACCTGGAATATTTTTCCACGTCTGAGGTGAAAAAAAACGTAGTCAACATGCCATTCAATTGTAAAACACATTAGCGGAATTAACTTTTATATACCGTTCATCAAGTTAATAAATATTCCCTGCTCTCGCATTTGAATGTCTTGGATTCAATTGGAAGGAGTTTCAGTAAGTAAAAAAAAAGTTGGTAATTGTTGAAGAAAAAAGAAGGAAACAATAAACCTTGTTGGAGCAACTGATGAAATGGTCAGACATGTGGCTTGGAACTACCATATTGCAAGTCAAGAATTTTGAGTTATTAAAAGTCTTCCTCCACTGTGACAGTATCAGGAAGAGGAAGGTTTTTCAAAGCTTGAATAAGTACTCACAAAACCCTGTAAAATATATCATATTTTTTCACATGTGTACCACATTATTCAAGAAGGACCACAAATTATCGGAAGATTAAAGTAGACATGATACAAGATGTGAACTCTTCTAGTTTGTTGAATATTTTCATCTGTCAATCCTTCTCCAGTTCTCCCACCTCCCTTTTTAATATTTTCTTTGAATGATTTTTTGACAACAGACTCCAATCCTATAGCAAAAAATATAACATGTAGCTAGAATGACTTGCATCTCATTACCTTCAGTGATTTTCCCAAGGTATTCTTCTAGAGCTGCCAACCCCTTTTTTGCTTTTAAGTCATCGCTTGCATCAAATGACTGCTTTCTTTTACCGAATGATCTTGAAGAAGACTGCATACCGTCATTGTGGAGCTTTTGGAAATAAGAATCTAAGGATCTCAATTGATTTTCAGAAGAGCTTAACGAATCGAAGACTCTGCATAATTTCCCACCATGTGAACTACTACAGTAACTGGAAGCTAAAAATCCACCTTCCTTCTGCTGCCCAAGTGAAATCAATGTAAATTTTCCTCGTAACAAGGCTCCCCCTTGCATCATCGTGTAAATTTTCATACGAACCGAGACAATATCATATAACACATTTTATCTCCTCCTGTATTAATTTGAATTTAAATGAAGATCAGATAAAGAATGAAATAAGTGGTTTCAGGAACTCTTATTAGCCCACATCTACGAGTCTAACTTCAAACGAACACTGAAAAAAAAAACTATCTTGTAAATACACCTGTAAGTAACTTTTGATTAGACTTATTCATTAAAACTTTCACCAGTAAGGCATCGGCCTAAAATACTGTTCTAAGTAAAGAGAAAAGGTTGCCTCAGCCACAGCGGCATATCTTCAAGTTAGATGTCAAGATGTTAACTACACAAGAAATATTCTACCAGCAAAACAGCAACAGCTACAACTTAAGTTTCATGGGCTTGAAGGTCTTCTTGTTCAAACAAAATCATTATATTTATACACATCTAAGTTCAAAAGAAATTATAACCATGCCATCCTGTTTTCGTCCATGCAACGGAGAGAAAATCATCATGAACACATAAAAGCTTGAATGAGGGACCCAGGAAGCACGAACTTAACTTCCACTAAACACTTCGAACTAGTTATTCTTTCTAGATAGCAGAAAAAGAACCAGAATATGGTAATTTGCTTGAATCGATCGTTCAAGCCTATATACAAGCAGTTCATCGACGCTAGTTGTTACATAACATATATGTGCAAAGATACCAGCGTATTAGACAGAGAGAGTAAAAGTATATGACGTTAAAAAGATTGTATCCTTTCAGTTTCAGATAGATAGTTACCGGGTGGACAGACTGGAGAAGCAGATTCTTGACTGACATCAGAAAATGCCCGGAGGAGCTACTACTTCCATTAATGCATGGGGTTTTAGTTGTCGCAGAATAGAAATGAAATAAAACGAAACTCTTCTCCAAAATTAGAGCGCGACGTTATGGTAACCTTATCTTCGTTATCCTCCCATTAACTGTGTGCCAGCCACGTTTATGGACTCCAATTTTCTTACACCGCTGGAATTTGACAAAAAATTCCCCACCGTTTTAGTCAAATCCACGATAAAAATCTCTAGTGGGACAATTCCAATCTTTGTTTTTTTTTTTTTGGGTACCATACAATATAAATACCATAAAAAAAGGAGTTTTTGAGAATTTGACATCTTGAACAATGAACAAAAATATTATTATTGATTAAAATTTTGTTCTGACCGCTAGCTATTGTACGTGCATTATTGGAACGTTTCCCCTTATAGTCTCTATTAAATCAACAAATAAGTCCACTACCATTCTTCCCCTTCTAATTTTCTCTTGTAACGTTCCCACTCAGGCCTACCTTGGGAATGAAGGAAAAGGAATAGTACAAATGTTCAAGTTGCTTGAGAGTTTAAGAAACTAACGAAGTGTTTTTTTTGATATATATATAT